GGGAGTTCGGAGGGAAAGCGCTTTCTTTTCACCTCGTGCAGTCAGGGTGACCTGCTGAGTGGGGGATGTCGTCACTTTGGGCTTCCTGTAAAACTTCTCTCAACATCCCCTTTTTCGCGCACGCGCGTGAGTATTAAAGGCCAAAGCACACCCACAAAGTTAGGCGGTTCCCCCCCCCCCCCCCCCCACACACACACACTTCTCAGTTCCTTCTGCTCATTAAGCTGCTTCCTGTGCTTGTGTCTCCCGGCCGGCGATTAATAATGCCGCCGGTTGTTCATTAATATTCCCGTGATGAACGTCCACCGTTGAGCTCTTTTCTTTTTGTTTCCCTCAGACTCCATCGACCAGCCCACATAGGACCACGCCCCCCTCCCACCTCAGCATCCCCCCCCGCCCCAGAGAGAAGGGAGAGGGGATCCGATCGTCCATCATCTCGGGCGCCTTCACAAGGTGGGCTCACATCCCACGCGGTTGGCATGGTAACGGCCCGCTCGGTTTAGGCCCGAGCAGTTTGCTCGGTGTCTTGTTGTTGCCACATTGTTGCGACATCCTCCCGACCCGAACGCGCCGAAGCGCTTCGTGTTCTCCCGAGCTCCGCGGTTCGAGGTCCGGGACCTTCGGGGGGGGAAAAAGGTGGTGCAGCTTTTGGCCGAGCGAGCGGCGGGCGCTGGAGGCGGCGGTGGGAGACGAGGAGGAAAACAAAGAGGGTTGAGCGGGTGATTTTCAGGCAGATGAGAAAAGGAGAGTGGGAAGACGGCGGGGAGGCAGGAGGAGAAATCAAATTATTCTTTGTGCTCTACCTGCCACAGAGGCTGAAAGAGAGCATTCATCTTTCACCCCGGTCTGCAGGTGACAACAACACACACACACACACACACACACACACACGTTTCTAAATGGTCCCAGACTTAACCTAACCGCACTTCTCTCTTTCGTTCACATGCCGTTAAAGGCATTGTGGAGGAGGGGAGATGAGTCCAGTCCGGATATTGGGGATGGTGATGATGAGGAAGAGTCCCGGAGAGGACAAGCCAACCCTGCTGGGTTAAAACAACCTTAAATGGGCCGTATCGGACCGGGCTTTCCTACTTATCCGCCATAAAGCCGTGGAGCTCCTTGTTTGAGGACTCGTGGCGTAGCCGTTTTGTCAACAGAGATTATGAAACGGCGGCTGGCGGGCGGGGCGGGGCGACTATTTGCATCCCTCCCGCCCCCGCTGACTCTGTCACCTCCACCTTCTGGTCTACCAACCAGCAACACAGCCGCCCCCCCCCCCACAGCCGCCCACCCGCCCCCAGACGTAACACACAAGTGTCGGGGCAGCCGGAGCCGCAGTTCTGCCTCCTCAGCGTTGGAGAGACGCTGAGTGAACAAACTCCTCCAACTCATTTTTCCTGCACGAGTCGTCTGTCCTCAATAACTCTTTCAGACGTGTTCTTGTTTGTTGCACGGGGGCTTTTTTTTTTTTCTTCTTTTTTTTTTCTGCTTCTGACTCACTCCGTCGTGGGAAGTCTGCCGTCTCTTCACTTTGTCTCGCAAAAGCGTTTTTGTCCCTCTTTGCCTTCAGATTTTTAGATGCCGTATTCTGCTCCTCAAGAGTTGGCGACGCTCATCTATATATCTAAATATCTCTCATCTTGTTAAGCATGCAAGATATGCAACATGTTGTTTCAGATAACATGAAAGAAATACGCACACTGGAGGAACTGCACAATTTAAAAAACGTTTTCCTTCCGCTCAAAAACTAAAAACATTTCTATTTCAGTTTTTCAAATGATGGAAAACAAATGTTATCTCATTGGTATGAAATGAATAATAAAGTCCGTGAAATGAATAGTTAGTATTTCGTCGACAAACTACACACTTGTTCAGGGTTATTGTTGGAAACAATGAGATCTCCACACATTTCTTTGTGATATTTTCTATGTATCTCATTTCTACAAAACAAAGACGATCGTGACTTCATGCAAACAATGTTCAGCAAAATGCTTTACATACAACATAAGAACAAATTACTATGAGACGTCGTGCCAAATCTTGCAGAAGCTTCGTCTAATATCTGGATGAACCCATGTGGAACATTTTATATAAAATACATTTTTGTCTGACTACAATCGGGGAGCCGGCCAGTCGACTTACATTCATCACATCTGAAAAGGGCTTTAGATAAATATTTACATTTCCTGTAAGAGGAAACCATGAATATTTCCAGTACGTGTCATAGAAAAGTGATTTGTTTGATTGGGTCGCATGCTTTCGGTTTGACGGGGTGAACTGTTGGGGTCGGTGCGTGGTGGCGGGGGGGGGGGGGGGGGGGGGGGGGCGGGGCTTCCTCCAGCCTCCAGGGTCCCCGGCAGCCCGCCGTCACGTAGCAGACCTGAAGAGTTCGGCGTGGCCACATGTGACGCCGCAGCACCGCTGACCCGAGTCCTCCTCCCTGTCTAATGACCTGGAAAATACTGGGGCGAGGGGGGGGGTCGAGATCGGGGGGGTCGAGATCCGGGTCAGACGTCTTGTGAAGGACCTGAAGCTGTTTACCTGCATGGGCGCACTCACCTGTGCACGTCAGACGTCCTGTTTTTCTTTTTGATTCTCCAGCCGAGCCTCAAGAAGCAGCCGCTCCTTTTTGATTAACGGCTTCCCGCCGGTACGTTTGACTCTGATTTAATACCCGCGAGTCATCTTCAACCGAAGGATTTAGACTTATTGAACGCAGCAGCTGATCGGGACCCTGTAACGCATTCGTTTGTGCCTCAGCGATTGATCGTGAGCGGTTTCATGGCCGTCTGCCATGAACGGCCGCTTCCTTCTCTCATTTATGTTTGACTACGAGCCCTTTTGTTTGGTTTGTAGTCGGTGGGCAGCTTTCTACTTTTGCCTCACACCGACCTCTCCCTCGGGTTCGCCATCTCCCCCCCCCCCCCCCCCCCCCTCGCCGCCCTCCATCCTGCCGTTGCCCTCTTTAATGTCGCTCATTCCCCGCTGCTATATTGTGCCCACCGACCGCCTCGCCGCCACCAGGCCCCCGCGCCGCCTGTGGCGTGTAATTGACTTTTCTCCCTGCTCTGGAAAAGCGGGGCGGCCCGCGCCGCGCTGGAGGTGACCCATTTCCCCGGGGCATTCAGCGGCCTCCTAATCAACCATTCTCCGGGGCCGCCTCATTCACTCCGCAATTAGAGCAACTCCCCCCCCCCCCCCTTTGAGGACTCCCATCAATAGGCCGCCGGGGCGGGCGGGCTGAATTGTCGGAGGAGCAGAGACGGAGTTTCACTCCCAACACTTTTGAGTTCTGAACCCTCAGACTTTGTACCCCTCCACCCCCGTACCCTCCCTGCCCCTCTGCTTTTTTACCTACGTCTCCCCCGTGGTTGGTTTCGTCAGGTAGACGGGCGGACGGGCGAGAGAAGACGCAGGTAGGCGAGCGGACAACGAGGTGGACGGCACTCGAGGGAGAGATTAAGGGGGAGATTTGGGAGGGATCGAGCGGGAAGATCGGCTCGTGTTTAGAGCATCTCTCTGTTTTCAGGAGCATCCCCCCCCCCGCCCCCCCCCGCCCCCTCTTTGTCTTGCAAGGGAATGCGCTTGTGTGTCACCTGGTGTTGGAGACACTGAAAGCCCTCACGTTGGTTCTGTCTCAGGAAGGAGGCGCGTTGGAGCCGGGATGCGATCCAACAGCCGCACGACTGAAGATTACGACAGAACGCAATCAGGCGATTTTTTTTTTCTCGCGAGCAGCTCTGATCCCGCAAGAAGGAGCGTGCCATGATGGCGCGCTGTGATTAAATAACGGGCCGGCTCCTCCCCCTCCCCCCCCCGTTGGCCTGATTTCACTATGCAGGGGAGGCGTGCTCTGGTCAAAAGGATAACCATGTAATCAATGGAATGAAAAAGCCGCTCCGGCTGTGAAGGTTAAGAGGGGTACTGGAAGCTTTCAGCTCCACTTTGTGCGGCACGCATGCATTCAAAGCGCACACCAGACAGTCTGAATGTTACATCTCCTCCTCTTAATTCCTCCCCTCCTCCTCTCACCTGTCCCCCCCCCCCTTCCCTCCGGTCTTTCTTTGACATGCCTTTATCTCCCTTTCCCTCAGCTCGCACCCTCTGCCTCCGCCTCTTTTCGCTCTGATTCCCCCCTCTGTATTTTTTAGTTCCTCTGCATTCACGCTGTATATTCTGTCTCCCACTATTTGTGCTCTCCCCCCCCCCCCCCCCCCCTCCTCCCTTCATTTACTTTCCTCTCTTCCCTCCCTTCCTCCCACCTCCCTTTCCCCAGTGTCAGCTGCTGTCACTGTGGAAAAGAAAGTGACCAATCACAGCTCACTTCACAGCACCAGCCTTGCCCTCCTTCCCTTATTTCCTCTGTTCCTTCCCTTCAATCTGTCCTCCTCCTCCTCCTCCTCCTCGCTTCCTTTCGTCCCATCTGCCTCTCTTCCCTACAACCTCCATCAGATCACTTCCTGGAGACGAAATGTGATGCATTATGGGAGACAGACGGCTGTCTAACGGGGTTAGTTGTGCAGCGAGGCTTATCATCAGAGACACTGCTAATCCTGTGCGTGTGTGTGAGATTGTGTGTGTGTGTGTTTGCGTGCGCACAATATGAGCTGATGAACTAACGCACAGGCCCACACACACACAAACAAACACATCTCGACATGCTTACTCTTTCTTTTTTTTCTTTGATGAAGGAGGAGAGAGGAGGCAGACGAGACATGTTTATGTTCGTCAGTCTCTGGCAGGAGAATACGCTTTGCATCATATAAGCATATTTTACTGCCGTGTTTCTGTTTTGCACTGTATCCACTTTGCAGGCTGCAGCGCTATCGCAGATTTCTGCTGAGTTGAAAAGGACGATTCCCACGTCTTCTTCCCCTTCACAATGACGTGTATAATAAGAGCTAAAAGGCTAAAAGCGACTATATAATCCCCCTTGTGCCGGTATTAAAGCCTTATTTACACCGGCGTGTGCGCGTTTGTGCTCCTTCCTCCCCAGGTGCTGATATGCGTACACGATGAGCGGATTGGGGGAGAACTCCATGGAGCCTCTGAGCACAGAGAACCGGAAAGCGCAAGCTCTCCACCTGTGACACGCCCGGTCTGGGGTAAGTGTGTCCGACCCTGCACCACGCAGAGGGGCGAGCTGCCGAGTCAGCGGCTCGTTGACTGTGTGGCTCCTTTGTGTGCCGCGATGAGTAAGAATCTAAATGCGTGCAAAAATTTGAGACGATTTCATAGGTAGCCTTGGTGCAAAAACAGGAAATTGCCCTTGTGGCTTTTTTTTTTTTTACAAAGGTGTGTTTTTGGCGAACTTTTCCCGGCTTTCCGGTTTTTTTTGGGAAAACCTTTTTTCCCCTTAAAAAAAAAAAAAAAAAAAAAATGGGGGGGGAAATTTAAATTCCAAATTCCGGCCCAAAATTTTTTTTTGGTTCCCCTTTGTTTTGAGGAAAAACCCCCCGGCCCGCCTTTTTGTTTTAAACCCCCCCGCCCAAAAAAAAGTCAAGTGGGAAACCCCCACCCCCTTGGCCCCCTTCTCCGGGTTGAGATAAACTACCCCCGCCCACCCTTTTTTTGGGGTTAAAAACCCGAGGTTGGACTCCCCCCCCCCGGGTTCCGGGGGGGTTTTTTTTTGTCCCGTTTCCCCCCCCCCCCCCCCCCCCACCCCTCTGCAGGTGCGAGAGGAAGCGACGGGAGCAGGAGAGCAAATACATCGAGGAGCTGGCCGAGCTGATCTCCGCCAACCTCGGCGACATCGACAGCTTCAACGTCAAACCGGACAAATGTGCCATCCTCAAAGAGACGGTGCGGCAGATCCGCCAGATCAAAGAGCAGGGTGAGTGGACGCGGCGGGCTGGGGGGCCGAGGGCGAGACGGACGGACGGACGGACGGACGGGCTGCTGAGGAGAGGGTGTAGGAAACACGAGGAAGAGGAGACAGCTGGACACACACACACACACACACACACACACACACACACACACACACACACACACACAGACAGATGTGCCTCCTCAGAGCCCAGGTGCAAGGACGAGTCAGTCATTCATCTCCCACAAATTTCACAGCTTCGACTGTTTATGTTTGGGAGGAAACATTGGCAAAGCTTCGTGAACCGCGTGTGTGCGTGTGTGCGAGTGGCCAGCTGTGTGCTGCCCTCGCCAGGGGCTGTTTAATTGGACGTTTGCAGGTAATCACATGCCCATTGGTTTTTGCAAACTGCCAAATTATTAGTTCAGTTGCATCTGCCATTACCGTACTTCCGTCTGCCTTATGCAGCGGCCGTTTTCACAGCGAGGGATTTATAATGAAAAATAAAATTTAAAAAGCTCCAGGCTGACGTTCTAGCTTTTACACGTGTGCCGCCAGAGCGGAGTAGACATCTTTTACACACACACACGCGTGTCTCAAGGTGAATTTCACGAGATCGGGGGGGTGGATTTTTGTTCCCGTGTCTCGGCTCAGCCAGCGTCTGCCACCTCGACAGGAAGGGGAAGAGGCTACAGCTGCCCCTGACTGGCTGCTGACAGGTTGCCATAGTTACAGGAAGTGAAGACAGAAATGACACGGGCGTTTAGGCACGTCTCTTGCTCTCTACCTGTCTACCCACTTCTCCTCTATTCACTTTCAGTTGCTCTTTCTGCCAGTCTTCACGTTCGCGCTTCTCAATCATTTGCTGTTTTTCTCTTCTCACTTGGA